GTCCTGCTCAATTTCCATTATATCTTTCCAGATCCCCTCAATCATTTGCTAAACAGTTCTACTTTCAAAACAAATTGAATTTCTGTCTTTTGGTATATTTCGGAGTTCTTATGAAAGGAAGTTCTTTCTGAATTTGCCAATAAGAACGACAAACATGCACTTATGCATAAGCCAATTTCTTCAAAAACCAATTCAAAATCTAAACTCTTTAAACTTGCAATTGTTTTTGTGAAAACAAATTACTTACCACAGTTTCAGGAAACTGCTTGTTGATGAACATATCCACATCACAAATGATAACAAATAAGTACGGTACGCCAAGAAGCAGCGAAGTTAGTGCGAAGATGGATGAACCCATGCTGATTGATCCCAGGCGATTCAATTTCTTCAAGTTTTTCATCGTCATCGTTGGATATCCGCTAATAAGTTGGAGGAATCTTCAGTCTTCTTAAAAAAATAATAAAAATTGTAAAGTGCTAATGGATGGTATTATTTTATGAATTATACGTTTTTGTGAAACATTGAGCAGAGAGGGTAACAGCAGACACGCTGAAATCTCATCCCTTAAACTTCTAAATTAAAATTTTTTTCTCTTCAAGTGTTCTCTGGTCTATTAACGCATGAAGCAAATTGCTCATGGGTGGACTAATGTGGGAATGGCAGCTTTTGCGCAAAATTACGATTTTCTGTTCTTTGAACCCAAATAGCTGGTTTCCCGAGATTACAAAGCCGGAGCGCATCAAATTTCGCATGTTAAGGGTACAAATTGTTAGCTTCGTAAGAATACGGTTGCATCGTTCTAATGTAGAAAAATCATCGTGCGTTTCCAGACAAAGTGTTTTGTTTACAAAATTTCAATAAAATTCCGGTCTTTAACACTTATTCCGCAACATTTCGGTGTTCTACGACAATGAATTGGAAAAATACACGCTAATAATATAATCTAATGAAAATTAGAAGCTGTACATGAAATCATTGTTCTATCCTACTTTACGTTGGTTTATATACCACCGTAACGAGGTGAATTGCATTTGCGCTGCTAAATGATCAGTAGCCGCTGGCAAAAACTGCGTATTCACTTAGAGGGAGCCACCTTCAAGTGATTTGCTCATTTTCACATAAAAGTTGTAGGTAGCCACAAAAAAGAAACTGGTATTTGCCTTACGCCCAGCTCCTATGCGAAGAGCCAATACATCAGTATTTCACCTAGCAAATTTCTAGCCGAACACAATAAATGGCATAGCTTGTTCTTAAAGTAATCGCAGCTCCAATATACTTAGCCTAGTTTCTTTGAGGTTAACGCTTGTTCATGAGACTTTTTTCTTTAATAATGCAATTTGACATGAGATAATGTGCAACGATTTGTAGCACTAAACTCGCAAAAACTATCTGGGTAAGAATTTTGGCCATTTTGCTTTGAAAGACTGAGTAGAAGACATCACTCTTTGTAAAAGGTTTTCTTCACAAACTCTATCTTTTCTTTGACAGAATTTTGGAATTATTGATCGGTCACATGGGGCAGCCTCGCAGGAATATCACCGCATAACCTTCAAAAAGCAACATATAAAAACACAGTTTTTTCTTCATCGCTTCCCTGCATTATGTAATTCTTTCTCATATATTTTAAGCATCTCAACTCAGTGTAAGGTGCAACCTTCGGTTTTGCTTTAGAGCTGCCTGATGCTTATAGGTTGTTCAAATTAAAGCTTACGTACTGAAAATTTGTTTTCAGCTGCTTTGTCTGTCTATCTTGCTTTATATGTTCATTCTTGCCAACTTCACTTCGAAAATTGAAACGCCATAGGTAAAGATAAGATTTATTCATAGTAACATAAGTTACATACACCGTAACGAAGATGAGCCTCAGTACTCCAACAATAAATAAAAGTAAACGCGTAAAACCCGTATAGCAAAATTTCAAGTATGTTCATTTCACAAAACTGCATAATCTTTAGAAGTGTCAATAATGACTGTTTTTGTGTTAAGAGTATAGTCAACAAGTTTGTCGCTGGTCATTCTTCGTCCCATCCTAAACAAAGTTACTGATTGCTAGCAAAAAAATGGATGATTTAATGTTACCTTTTCTCAATAGTCCTTTGCGTCCATCGCTCTAGCCACCTTAGGCAAGGCGATTCCATAAAGGCCGATCGAACTGCGCCATTCATTAGGCAGAATAAGGCAAATATAATACACGAAGTAAGAAGGGTGATCATCTCGGTTAAGTCGCCTGAAAAACAACACGTTAAATTTGATTCCACCTCGCCTCAAGATGAACAGAAGTCACGGTCCATCTATGCGCTTTACAATTTAAGTTCCAGGCTTGTTTTTGTTCACAAACTCGCAGCATCAACTAAATGTCAAATTGTGTGGAACTTTATTTAATATTGATATTACTTAAAAGTGATTCTGTTGCTGTTTATTATAAAACAATATTTGCTCAGCATTGCTTCACAATAGGTGCTTACAAAGGATCAGCTTTGTTGCTCTCAAATAAAAAATTCAAGATGGCAACTTACCTAATGCGACAAGAAGTTGCAGTTCTGTTATAGTGGACAAAACTGCAAGTAATCCTTGTGGAAACTCGACGATAATGAATATGAACATGATGATCTAAATGAAAGAGCCTTGAATATATATCATTTCTTAAATACACCGACTTTCAATATCTTTTATATAGTGTATTTGAAGTCCACTAATCCCGACCACATGTGTAGTCTTCAGGAAGTTTTGCAGGAGCTTTCATCTAATATCTTTGGCATGCCTATGCCAATTTTCGGTTTTAAGAAACGCACAAATCATTCGATGGCACCCAGCGAAAGATAAAATCTGAGGTATTTCTATTGTAAAAATCTTTTCTTTCTGAGATTGAGTTAGTCTACGCGAAAGGAGACATTTTGTTTTGACAAGAAAATCACATTAGATGAGGAATGTTTTAAAGATTATTGGTGACAATGTGATTTCGCGTTCAAAACGCAGTGAATAGCTTAGCTTTTGAGTTATGCCACCGATTCCTCCGCTTTTATAAGAGAAAAGAGAATTTTTTTGTGCAATCCTTTCATATGGCCCTCTCCGCCTCCTCATAACCACTCCAATTTGTTATTTTTCCGTTACAATGCCGTGTTGCACTTGAGAGCGTTGTGTCGTGTAAATCTTAAAGGCTTTGTCTATTTTCGCAAATGCATAGAGT